AATGTCAGATTGGCCGAAACTTTGGAAACGCACAATACAGGGAGTATACTAAGGTGAGGGTCCTACTTATTGTTGACTAAACCAGTTCTAGATTCTGAATAACGGCTGAATCATAGACCTTTGCCACTCATGTAATAACTGCATGATTGTCGACAAGTACTACGGAAGATTACATAATTTTAAACTGCTTGGAAAAAAACGAGCATTGTTTTGGTGGTAAACACGCTCTTGTCTTCCTCACTCGGCAGTAACCAGAGGCAAAATTCTAGGTACACTCTAAAATCTAAAAACGAACTTTGTATCTCTTCGTGTCCGGTTGGATAGTGCATATTTTACCAATACAAATATTCATATTAATTTGTGTATCAACTCTGTTCTTTACAGAGACAGGCAATTCTAGGTGGGATGACCTAAAGTGTAGCCACCTGATTGTGATACTCGGCAATGCAGTTGCGCTTTGAGGACGCACAAAGTGGCATCCTACATGCTGCACAAATTACTGTCGTTTGACGCCGCGCTCCAGTTTTGATGCAAAGTTTGCACTGTACTCGTTGCTCCTGGAAAAGAGGCAAATGCATAATTTGAATTTTCTCCTCTTCCACACAATCCGACTGATTGAAAAGTTGTCATGCCAGTTCTCGACGAAAAGCCCGATGATTTAGTGGTGTTTTGCCGGATCTGGAACAAACATTCTGGTGATAAATGTACGCGTTATTATCGCAGTGTCCAAGAGCCAAAAGAAAATAGGAACCCACGTCCGGTAGGAAATAAGCTGCGTTTTGTAATTAGCTCGATACTAATCAGCAATGTCCACGCCATTCATGTGATGGTTGTAGTCATCAACGCATCGAGGAATGGCAAAAACCTTGCGGAAAGAATCGCCAAATTGGCGCCGTACGCTAGCTCCATTCGTAGACGTAATCCTAGGCCGTTTTCGCTCGCGATCAACCAACCACTGCGTACCTTCAACGTGGTGAATAGTCGACAATAATTGCACAGGTCCATTAACCATCCAAAAAAATAACGAGAACGTTGCCTACTGCCATCGACTTAATCGTATTCCACTCGTGTTTATTTTAGTCGTATCATTCCTGAAGCGCATTTCTTTTGGGTATTGTGCAGAGTTCGACTGGGCTCTTCCGCATGCACCAATGCCAACACTTCGTAAATGCTCAAATAATGGAATAGAGCTGAAATAATTGTCCATGAAAACATTAAACTGCATATTCCGCGGAAGTTTGCTGCATAAGTGAGCTACAATGCACCCTGTAGCAGTCAACCGACCACATTTCGGCACTGTCGTAGCAACCACACGGCAAACCAACTCGAAAGTGAAGCAATAGCCCTTCGAACATAGAGCCATAACTTTATATCCTTCTGAAATCGGTTTATTTTTCATTCGTACTGTGTGTGCGGAGCGTCCTGAAAAGCGAATCATCATTTCATCGACGCTAACGTTGCTATCCGGGATATAGAGATCCTCAAATTGCT